GCACGAATTTTTCGGAAAAAAGGACGTTAGAAAAATTTGAATTACACCATTGAAAAAAGGGGCGATCTCGGAAACGATATACGTCGATACAGTCTTATGCTATAGTCATTACTCGCACAGTATTCGTCATACGGTAATCGTCAGTTTTACATAGATAAGTGCCAGCGCTAATTGGTAATGATATTATTTCACAGAATCTAATAAACTTTAAGCGCTTTCTAAGGGAGAACAGCAAATGGATTTACGATCTCTTTCACAGAAGAAAGTAACAACGACTTGGGTATTTAAGCCCGTGTGTCCTTGCCTTAGAAGTTAGTTCAGTGTTGGCTTCCTATTCTAGCTTGTACCTTCGAAGTGTCAGTAAAAATCAACTTTCGTGATCTTACGTATAGTAGCCAATAAAGTTCATTAAATCGTCAGAGCTTTTTCTCAAGATCCGTACCTCTGTGAAATTGAATTAATATAACTACTGACTTTAAAGTATAAAGATTTCGTTCAGGACATAATGGAGATGCGATATTTAGAACAACTAAATGACGTTGCTGAGGAGCACAATCCACAAGATCAGAAACTGAAAGGTATACATAATACTCATATAATTATTTTGCGTCAAATAAATATTTGTAAACTTTAAATATGCATGTTCTACTTTTTCTAGACGAATGTGCAAAGAAAAGGAACAGGACGATATTCACAACGCCGCAGATTATCTCGCTCGAACGGATATTTGAGACAACTAAGTATTTGAGCCGGTCCCATCGATTCCTCGTGGCGCAACAGTTAAAGCTCACGGAACTTCAGGTGCAAATATGGTTCCAGAATCGTAGGATGAAGTTTAAGAAAGACAACGAAAGTGGCCCTGATGGTAAAAACAGTACATCGCTGCCATCCACGGCAACGACAGGCCAGTTGGGCGCCGTCAGTGTCCCCGAATCGCTCCGAGGCGAGCTGCCATTACACGGTCCGCAAAAGCCGTTGCCTCCGTTTTATCATCAGCAAACGCTTGTTCCCCGTCAGCCGGTGCTACATAAACCGATACCCCGACGGCCAATGTTTTTTTCTCGAGTGCAGCGAAATCCATTGCCGCATCCATACCTTCTGGCAACTCAACAGCTTGGAGTTTTGGAACGGATGCTGCATCTCACGAGCTCTGGAGCCCTGGCACCTTCGACTCGAGTCAGCGTTTTGTACGACAATTTGGCTGCTTATGATTACGCCAGGTAATACGAGATTTCATATTGATCCTTAAAATTTATGCAAAGTAAATAGCATTGAAATATGAAACTTTCATCTCGTACTTTCGCTCAAAACATAATACTTGGACGTTCTCATAATGTATTATTATTATTGCTGTTAGAAATAAGTATATACTGATGAATTGGTAAATAAAAAGTCACAAACAGCGTTAAAAATAAAAAAAATGTTGAATCACCAGTATCCACAGAATAATGTCTAGATAAATAAAACATGGAAAGAAAAATGATAGTATATGCTAGTTGGCTAGAAAAATTCTTTCGTCTTTGGTTTTTTACTGTTCATACATACATCGTGTATTAATTTTACCAAGATATCCAGTATGAAAATTAACATTTAATTTTGTCGTAAATATTGCTCAGTTAACACTTGACCTATCGTTAAAAGAGCGCTATCATATAAACGTAAAACAGAAACTCAAATTCTAACAAATTAAGAGAAAAAAGTAAGTCATCGGAAAAAGTTTCTAATGCACCGCCATTGGGCCAATTAGATGATTACACGATAAGAGTCAGAATTAAACTTTTAATTTAACTAAAAACGCGCAGATTAAGTTCTTACCATTTTGATAATTAATTTTTCTAATTGCCAGAAATATAACAGTTAGTCATTGATTTTTTTTTAATTACATTTTTTAAGCAACGGCATTAAAAAAATTTTGGTGATTTTTTTAAATAATTGTAGATTCCAATTGAATGTGCTTGAACGAGAGCAACTGATGCATCTGCAACAGCTTCGGCAACAACTGTATTCACCGGTACAGTTGATGCAACAGCCCCAGCAGCATCAGCAACTACACATTAAATCTGAGCATCCTTAAGTACAGCGGCTACAGTAATTGCAACAGTACAAACGCGATCTGCTGCAAAACTTTTACGGTAGTTTTAACTATAGAGTGTGACACGATTTTCTGCATTAATCATTGATTCTGATATTTTTTAAATAGCATAATTTTTTTTTAACTTGGAATATAGATCGACAAGTAGTTATAATCCCTGTAATATCCTTGTTAAACGTGTGTGCCGTTAAGAATAAAATGTGAGCGTGAACTTTGGTATCCATTCGAAAATCTAGCTGACACGTACCATTTTATAACATGTAATTAAACTACGCATGACCTTAATCTTTTCAGTAATATCTAAGCTACTCTTTTGCTTCAAACAGTGACCTTTTTAATTTGTAAACGAGATAATTTTCCTTACTTTTGCGTTATTCTTTTTCTTTAAACTCAAGTATGTAAATATGTATATATGTACTATCACGTGCGAGCGGTTTAATTATAAAAAATAGGCACCATTAAAAATTTAATAATGTGTTGAGTAACTTGTATTTTCATCAATTAAGACTACGAAATAATTTAATTAAGAATTTTTTTTTCAACTTGTACTTAGAAATCAATAAATTTAATACATTAAACAAAAAAGCCTCGTATAATATCTTTTTAAAAAACCTTTAAATCTCTCTGATAACCTCACTAAGTTAATTATATCAAGTTTTTTTTTAAGAAGAAGGTAATTTTTTCAAAGACAGAGAGCATAACAGAGTTTGCTCAAATAAAAATTTATTTATTTGTTTTTCATTAAGTTTTTTATCATTTTTTGTCATATTTATTAACGAAATGACAACATTGTGTAAAACAACAAACAAGTAACTAGAGAATTTCTTTCGCTTTTCTGAATAACTCAGTAAGCAGAAAAAAGCCAGTAGTAAGATTGTTATTATAGACCTCGACGTCAGTTGGGGTATGTATGTATAGGCTTATTAAAAAATTTTTTTTAATAACCCATGTAGTATTTGACTCATTGGGCTAAATTTTGTCAGAGATTTTCATTTCTTATGACTTGATATCAGCAAGTTTTCATCAATTTAAGATGGTACTGTCAATGAATAAAAAAACACTTTTTTATTTACGTGATATTTTAATGGTTTACTGTGAAAGACAAAGTTGTAGATGTGACTGAAATACAACTTTTTGGTATCCAACCTTTTACGTCCAGGATATGTAATCCAACCGTTTCGGGAGCAAAATTGTGACCCCTATATAACTTAGTTGCTTTGTATTTCAGATTACAAAGTTAATATAAAACTTATAGACCTTAAAAAATGTAACTATTCTGTATACAACATGTTTATCTGTAAGATACAATTAACGTGTCGGTAATGTGAGTTATTATATTATGCGATTTTTTCAAAATCACTAAGCCTTGCAAAGCAAAAAAGTCAACTTACAATTATAAATATTAGTAGTTTATCTTTTAATGTATGGTACATATATTAATTCTGCAATCATAAAAATTACAGTTTTTCATTTATTTGTTTTCAAGCTGAAATCCAGCTTAAAGATCCTACAACACTATATCGACGGCTTGGTAAAAGACAGTGCTAATTTAAATGACACCTTATTTTTCTGAAAGATTGGATTTTTGGAAAATCTTTGTTCGTTCATATAGGTAAACCTTTATTGTAAACATCAGTGCTACTACGTCAAAGACGGATAAACAAAAGTAACTTTCGAGTTGGCTGCTTCGTCAACCAGAAGTACCAGAACCCGAGTTAACTTTTTTTTCGAACCAAATCTGAGTTGACTGCTTTTTTAACTTAATTTCTAGTTAGCTCCTTTTTAATCTATACTATCTGAGTAAGCTCTGTCTTTTACCCAAATGTCGAAATATATATATAAATAGCTGCAGAGAAGACTTCATTCGCAATGACTGAAATAATTATTTCACATTGTTTTTCTGTTAGTTTTACGATAATGCAATAGATAATCATCATCGACAATTAAATTGCAAACGATTCAAGTAAGTTTCATAGCCGTATGTGGAGTATTTGAGCCAGACAACGTACTTATTCGGACTCTTGCTGGACCATTTAGTTTTTATTTTTTTATAGACAACCGGAAGATCCAACGATTTTTTGCAAAGTGATTGCAAACGTTGCTAACGATTCCGCAATTTTGGGTATTTTTTTCATGTCCCAATTCGAAAGTCATTCGCGGAGTTCCTGGAGCCCATTATCTTACCTGTTTTCTACGCATAGAAAACTTACCCTTACTACAACCGTTTTTCAACCTGGTCATTTCTGGACCATAGCGAACTTTGCCTCTCCGAAACAGAAACATCCGCAATAGCTCTGATTGGCTGTTTCTATTGCAGACAGTCTATTGCGGAGCTCTATTTCGTACCATGGGATTGCACCCTAAGGCTGCAGTCACATGAAGCGCAATCATAGAGGTATAAGAATAGAGGAGAAGAAGGGGCGTGATATGCGACAGCAGAATTCGCTACGTAACGGGGCATCTGTCTTTGTCTGGCAGTTATATTACTGGTTGAGTCCTATATGAGATTGAATCAACTGTAGGATTCAGGATGAAAAAGTAGCTAATAACGTGGCTTTGTCAACAAGGACAGATACCCCGTTACACTTAATTATGCTGTCGCTGCCGTTATGGGCTAGTATAGCGCTTTTCCCCTCTATTCTTATACCACTATAAGCGCAATAGAGCGAGCAGGATAGGAATTTCTCCATAAGCGGCTGTGTTAAGTCTATTGCGCTGCAGGATAGCCCTATTGCACGGCCCAATAGACTTAACACAGCCTATGGAGAAATTCCTATCCTGCTCGCTCTATTGCACTCCATGTGACTGCAGCCTAAGGCCTGCCAAAGGTTGGAGCATGCCATCTACACCCTCTTGCTCTGTGTCCGAGGCTCAGCTACACACTTTATGATTTTCAAGAACGTGGGACCGGAGAATACAAACATATTTGATTCCTTATTTCCTTGGCACAATTTTTTTTTTAGAAAGGATAAGTTTTCAAAAGAATTGTGTTGGATTAATATGTCATTTTTTGTCTGAATAGAGAAAAAAACCGAAAACATTTTGACAACCGTAAACTTTGCTAGTCTTACCCCTAAAAATGTCTGGAGAGATCATAGTTGATGCTTTGCCTTATATTGATCAAGGATATGATGATCCTGGTATTCGACAAGCGGTAAGCAAATCAGTTTGCATTAAAATTTCACACATTTTCTCTTATCAACCTGAAGAAAAAACGAAAAGGATAATGCCATAATTTTACAGGCTGTTGAAATGGTAGAAGAAGAAATAAGACGTTTTCGACCAACGAAAAACTATTTGGAAAAAATTCCTATTTTAAATGTTACTTTATTTGAAACAGAAGTTTTGCGACATGAATTTGATCGATTGCAGAATCGCCTACCAATGGAAGTTTTGAGCATGAAACGTTATGAGCTTCCTCCACCTCCAGCAGGGAAATTGAATGATCTTGCAGCTTGGCATGAAAGTGTTGAAAATAGTTGTGCACAATTAGAGCATCAAGCAACTCGGTCAGTATCTTGGTTCTGGGGGAGAATTTATGTATCAAGTATTACTAAGGGTACTTCTTCTGTTGATTAGTTGTAGAGTAACAGTAGTACAGTCAAATTTTTTGAATCCATAGACGTTTATTTACATTCGTTAGGAATGTCATTTTTATTTTTTCATTTATCAAGTATTAATTAAAACAAGCTAATGGGTCAACATCAGTTGCTTGGATAAAAAAATTTTTTACATGGTAAAACTATGTAAATAAAGTTGTGGTTGCAAATAATCCATCATTAGATTGGAAATTAAGTGATTTATAGATTATAAGAAAAATAATATCTTTATCTCCAAAAGTACAAAGTATTGGCTAAAAAATAAAATGCATGACTACAAAAAATGCAATTATTGTTAACAGTCTTGTCAAAACTATTTTAAAATTGAAAATCTATGCACTTCACATCGTGCCCAACACGAAGATTTGAAACTATGACCTCATGGTTTTACACATCTGAAAATCATGGAGGAGTACTTTCAAGTGTAGTATATAAATAATTAAACGAAATTAAAATGTATTGCAAAGTATTTTTTGTGCACTTTTGTACAAAATAGTTTACTTTTTTTCTATTCTTAACTGGTCAAATGCTATTACAATTTAAACCTTTCATTCCAAATCACTAAAAAATACAATATTAATGATAATTAGTTACAAAGCATAAAATATATTTAATAATGCTTTTATACTTATTAAGAATAATGGCTGTGTCTATTCGCACCTTATATTCACGTACATGCATGCACATTATTGAAGAATAATTCAACAATTGTATGTGTGATAAAATTGAAAATTGCAATTAGTTTGTACAATACTTTGTAATTTCAATATATACTTCATTATCTTCAGAATAACTGTCTAAGTTCAAAGGATTACATCGTTACAATAATACATGTTATTGTTCTACAGGATTTGCAATTTAGAACTGATGATAGTATATGGTTGTGAAGCTTGGAAAACATATTTGAAATTATTGACGAAGTCAGTTTCAAGCTTGCAAAAACAGATTCAAGTTTATAAGAAACTAATTCAACAAGTTAATTGGCATAGAAAATCTCTTCAAACACAAGGAGGCGAGAAATTACGAGCTTTTGAAGCAGAATGGGTGGCACTGGTATCAAAAAATTATCAAATTGAGCAAGCGTGTGTTTATGTAGAAAATAGCATGATAACCTTAAGTATGCAATAAATTATCCAAGTTAGTTATTAATAACGTTCGTGACATGGTCTCAACTTAGATATAAATATTTTTTCGTGAGACCCCACCTAGAAAAAGGATGATGGAACTCTATGTGTAATGACTTCAAAAAAGCCACTCATATGGCATTACGTGTGACTTTACACAAGGGGATTTTTTTTTAAATCTGTTTATTGGCTTTCGTAATATTTACATATTGCCAGATACAAAGTATTTAGTTACATTTAGTATAATCTAAAATATAAATTTGAGTGTGTACATCGTGTGTTGTACACTTGGTCAAATTATAAATCCCTGCATACGGAAGTCGCGCAATTTGTCGTGTGACAAATTGCTCGATTTATTGCGTAATTTACCATGCAATAAGTCGCGTGACATTTTCGAGCAAAAGATCGCGCTCGTCATAACGTGATTTGTAATTTAGGTAATCGTGAGATTTTTCTAAATATGTAGCTTATTGAATATATCTAAATAATTTTGGTTGTAATTACCATAAAGGTAATGTTGATAATGAATTGAATAATGATGAAAACTTTTATTTTGGTCAAATAATTGTACAATTTATTAAAAAAGTCATTATACAACATTTTTGACGAATAAGAAGTTTTAACACAATTATCTGTATCTTTATTGAATATTTAATCAACACTTTTATTCGTAAATAATTAAGTTGAATAGCAAATAAAATAAATATTTATATTAAATAAAATTTTAAAAACTAACTACTGGAACCAAGCAAGAAGCGAGAGAACGATTAGCGAACGATTTTCTAACGAATTTATAATTTTAATAAAAAAAGTTGTCGCCTGACCTTCTAAAAAAGCTGATAATGCTACAAGCAGTAAAAGTTATGCGACACAAAATCTGATATTTAAGGTGGCTCCAGTGGCCTCAATGTTAAAATTATAAATAACCCAACCGAGGTTAATAAAATTGAATTATATTCTTTGAATTCCCATCTTTCTATTTGTGTAAAAAAAAAATTAAGGTTGACGATGAAAATTGTAAGAAATCATGCTTACAAAATCGTAGTTTTAAGACGGGTTAGATAGGAAATGCAAGCTTACGCGATATACAACCTACTGCTGCACTTATATAAATAACCCGTAAGGTGTAAAAAACATACTATCTTGTATATATTATTACGCAGTTTTCGATGACATGAGAAAAGTGTCTTGTTATCGAACAAAATCTTTAAATAATCGGAGACTAAGTATACAGTTGCGAGTGCAAGTCAGCTCTCAGCTGTCTGCATTCTGCAGAGTACATATTTATATATAGGTATAACTACTCTTGAACTTAGGAGCGTACCGTAACAGTTCATCAATTAGGGCACCATAAAACTTTTTTGTTTTTTTATATTAACTCACTAAAGCAACAGATAAAATGTAGAATTTGGCTAACAACAGTCTCTACCATAATTTTATACCATATTTTAAAGAAAATAATGATTAATTTTTAGTCTCCCCATTTTGATACGGCACTATAGGCGCTGGAGCCACCTTAAGAGCTACTGCAAAGGCATTGAGTAAGACCGAAAAAAATTCACGCATGAAACTTGAATACAGTGCTAAATAATCTTTGAATAAATGTTTCATAATTTCATTTTTCTTATAGATAACAATTTTTTTATAGTTGTATTTTTTTCTCGACGGTTCATATATTTATACGATTTGTACAAAACCTTTGAATTTTGAGGTGGTTCTTTCACGAAATGATTATATGAAAAGAATGGCACGAAATCTTTAGGAATCATTTATTGAGTTATAATACACTATCCCCCAAAATTTCAGAGCAGGCTGATGAATATAAACGCATGATACGTGAAGATTAAATTCTAAACATGTGCTTTTATAGCATGTAGCCTAGTTATTTATTTACTGAACGTAATTAAGTAAAAAATTGACACAATAAAGCTTGTGCAATTCCAAATATACTTCTATCTCAAAATATATGTGTTCACGGACTTCATCAAAAGAGAGTAAAGAAAACACAGGCATAAATTTTTATTTCCCATGTTGAAAGCATAGATAAGCATCCACTGCTGGTATTTAAGCGCGAATTTTAGATAATCATTCCGACAAACTTCTATATCGTATATTATCATCTAGGATTTTGAATCAGTACTTAATTTGCCTCAATAAACAGTATTCACAAGTAATCGGTTAAAATTTGAGCAGCATTAATAATTGACTACTTGACAATCGTACCTTTAACTCGGGAGTCATGGAAGAGCCACCTTAATATATAGTGTAAACGGTAGTAACTTAGTAAGTACAACTAAAAGATAATGTAAAACCTACGGAAGCTCCTATCCGCCATCTATAGGCAAGCTGCTTGCTTTCCTCAAAATAGGCAATGCAACTGTGGGGACCTTCCGACTTCCGTCCCTCGCTCCGACACAGTCGGCATCAGAGCCTGTATTCCGCAAATGCTACCAGCAGTTAGGTTACACAGTAAAAAATGCATTAGTAAATATACTATGACACTAGTACAAGTATACATCGCTACGCGTCGTAAAAATACGAGTCCCTAGTATTATTACTACAATTGTCGTCTCAATACTACTGCCACTGTAATATACCTATGTCTAGCCTTGGAAATAATATTACTTACCTATGTCGAACGTAGTAAGTTTACAACGGTACGTAGTAAAGTATATTGTAACAGAGGAAGGAAAATTACTATTAATAGCAGTAGAGTAATATGATTTACTTAGTAAATACACTACTTCCGTAGTAACGTGAAATTACCTTTTGTAACTGCCCCAAAATTACTACTGTGATTGTATTTCAAAAACTCGTTGTGAGCTGCATTAGCCATGAAGTTCTCTCGCTTTATGTTGTCAAGCACATGAGTCATGCAATTTTAATAACCGTTTTTATTTTCAATCAGAATTCAGTAAGTATAACAACTTATTATCACGTTACAAGTGCATATCGTTCAGCTCTTTTAAAAAAAAAAATACGTCATGTTTATACCGCATCATATGGCGTAGGTAGGAGGTTAGAGCGCTTCAAACATTTTGGTACGGGTATTTCAATTTTTTCAAATAATCGTGTTTCTGTTGATCGAATTTAAAGTATCAGAAGCTGAATGGTATTTTATGCAGAAATGTTAAGCTTACCTAGGTATTATAAACTTTCATGATGCGATAATTGTAATGGCAACAATAGCTGTAACAGGGTGTCCACCATACCTGGAAAACCTGGAAAACCTGGAAATGTCAGGGAAAAAATTTTGTCCTGGAAAAACCTGGAAATGTCAGGGAATTTTTATGAATACCTGGAATTTTATTTAACTTTTTGAGAGTATGGTGCTGGCGAGTTGACAAGCTCAGTTCAGAGGACGCAAGAGCGAAGAATTCCCAACCTATGAAAGTTTAATATCACAGAAAGATTATTTGTACACATGAAATATGTATGCAGTCCGCAGCTTTTATCTGCTCAGTCTGCTGTTCAGCATGTGTATGCCTCTGCGTATGGGTGAGTTAGTGTGTAGACTGTGTACTACGAGCGCTTCGCACGCAGTTCACACCGACTCGGTGTCGACACACCCGAGCAGATCGAGCATATATATATTACATATGCATCGGAAAGCCCGTAAGTCGAGAGATGGAGAGAGAGCATAGCAGCATCGAGGAGGGGGGATATACGAGAAAACGAAGCGGCCTGCAGCCACCACTATACGCTATGACGCTACGCTCGCGGGATCAGTTCGTTTCGACCTGTCTGCTAGCTTGCATCGGGCCAACCCAATCACCTGACCTCTGAGACGAGAACCCAGCGGCTACCTGTAGTGTCGGCTGTAACCTCTGGAATGTGAGCAAAGGACTGGACAACACGGCCGAAGAGAGTGCCACGTAAGGACCATAGGGGAGCTTGCTACGACCGACGACAAGGATGTCAAAGCGAGTCCTGACGAGCGGTCTCCACCCAGCCGCCGCGCCGTTCAGCAGTGGGCCAGGCATCTCACGTATATAATCTACGCGTAGAGTAACAGGTGGGTGAGCTAAAATAAGTGGGTTGGTGAACACAGCAAAGGGAAGACTCCCGACGGAGCGGGGGTAAAGTCGCGGTTGTTTTTTCGAGCGAGCGTGGGGAAGAGTAATATGATATTGTAAGCAAGAATAGTTTGACCTCTCTAAGTCGAATAGTGGCTGCGCGCGAGTGAGGACTATATGAGACACTAACTATATGAGAGGTGCAAGAAATCAGCTGAGCCATAATATCAGTATGGATAGTTCATCAATTTCACTGAATATGATTAATCAAGCGCTCGATGCGCCTTGAATTTCATAAAAAGATCAAGATAGGATCTAAGGCTAAGTAATATCAAAAAATTTTGCGTCGTGAAAGTGTATCGTGAGTGGCATGAGCGTAGGTATTTCAGTCGGTCGGTCGGGTGACACCATGTATTTCATATACCTATATATACCTATGTATACATACTCAATATATATCACTTGCCAAACATGCACGCGAAAACGCCGAGCTGGCGGGGGAACATATATACATATATACTTAATACATGGAGAGAGTCGATCTTTCAAAAGTAAAACGCTCATGCCACTCACGATATACTTTTAAGCTGCAAAATTTTTTGATAGCTCACTTAGCCCTACATCCTATCTTGATCTCCTTATGAAATTCAAGTAGCATCGAGCGCTTGATTAATCACATTTAGTGAAATCGATGAACTATCCATACTGATCTTATGGCTCAGCTGATTTCTTGCACCTCTCATACAGTTAGTGTTTTCTCTACGAAAGGGCACTCACGCTTCGTGTCGTGACGTACGTCTCGTGTGTCATATTTATATAAGCGTTTGTGACTGTAGCTTTCTCAATTTTTTTCTCTATTTATACTCAAAGTATTTATTTACAAAAAAAGCTCATTTTTTTGAACCAACATAATTATATGACTATTCACTAAATTATTTAAATTCAGGGTATTTAGAGTAGAATATGATTTTCTAGAAGTAGAGCTTTTTTGTTTTTGTAATCATCGTCT